CCCGCCGCGCCACGGCCGCTGCCGCTGCGGTGGCGATTATCGCCGCCTGACACCGGGTCTCCCTGAAACCGCGTCTTCCAGGGCCCTAAGGAGGCAGGTGCTTGGCGCGAAAGCCGGGTCCGTGAGTCCCGCGGGTAACAGGGAGCGCGCCCCTCCCACCGCACTGACTCACTGCGTCCAGGCACCAGCCACAGCCCCGGCCCCCAGCGGCGAAGCCCCAGTGTTGTCAGGGGCCACACTGTGCCTGGGCTGCAGGCACTGACCTACATGCGCCCCCCGGCTCAGCTGGCATGGGCTGACCGCCCACCGCTTCCGGCCCTGGCTGACTCATTCCACCAGCCTGGGGGCAGCAAGTCCATAAGGCCATCTCACAGATGAGGAAATTGAGGCTCAGAGGTCGTTCACAAGACCATGGCTGAGTGGACCCCTGCAGCCCCTGTCACAATGCCCCGGGCAGTAGCCGCAGTACTCTGCGGCCAGCACCTGTTCTCACGCCCTCTCCACCCTTGCTGTGTCAAGCCCCTGTGGAGGCATGGTCAGCATGACCTCCACTCACAGGCAAGAAAGCAAAGGCCCAGAGTGGGTGGGTAACCTGCCAGTGCCACTCAGCACAGCTCAGCCACAGGATAAAGAAAGACACAGGCCAGGCCTCAGCTGCCTCTAGGGGTGACTCTGCAGCTGGCCTGCAGTTGGGCAGCTGTGGGGGGGGGCGCTTGCAAATTCCTCTGAGTGTCTGCCCATCTGTCTTGAGGGCGGGTGCTGGGGACAGTAGGGCAGACCACTGTTTCCCCACAGTCAGGGGAAAATGAACGGCCAACAGCACACAAGTGGCCTCAGGGGGATTCACATCATGAGCAGTGATCACCTAAGGGCTCCGACAGTTAGCTGCCATCCTGTACTGGCCACTGGAAACTGGCTGAGGCCCACCACAGTACTCAGATGCACTGGGAGGACTGGGCTATTCCATTCTGCCATGCACTTGGCACCCAGAGGGTGCTGGGAGATAGCTGTGAACCAGTCTTATAAAGTCGGCATTGTTGCTGTTTACCCATTTAACAGATGAGGAACTTAAGGCACAGAGTGGTCAGGACACTGGTCCACAGTCACACAGCCAGTAGAGGCAGGGCTGGGACTGGAAGCCAGGCTCACCACACAGGTGCCTGTGCTACAGCTTTCGTGCTGTGAGGGACCAATTAAGCAGGTCTCAGGAACAGTCCTGGGTGACATTTGAAAAGCTAGCCAGGTGATGAGCCTAGAAGTGCTTGTGGCAGTGGGGAAAGCAAGAGCAAAGAGCCAGAGCAGGACCCAGCCCAGGATACCCCGGGAGAGAGAAGAGCGGGGACAGATACCCAGGAGAGAGGTGGGGAGCAGGAGGCCAGGTGGGGAGCCAGCCTGCAGTCAGTGCGAGGCCCTGCCCCCCAGGCCTGCTGCGACAGGAAGGTGCCCAGAGGTCCCTAGTGAACTCACACAGCACCCTGTGTGCCCAGTACGAAGCCTGCACCCACAGCCAGGGCTCCATGTCATCAGTGTCACAGTCAACAGCATGAAAACCAGAGGCATTCAACGGGTCC